GTAGGTGGCTGACGAGCTAGTAGACGCGATTATTCGCGGACGGTGGTTTCGTGGAGGCATTTCGCGAAGGGTTTCGCTCACGAAACAGCAGTTTCGCCGAGGTGCTGGCGCGAACAGGAAAAGTGCTTCAACCCACATTTGTGCATAAGAAACTCCATGTTATATTTCTCCTAAGGGGCTGAATATTCGCAAGGTGGAGATTTTCTCCTAAAGGGCTGGATATGCGCCAAGGTGGAGAATTGTTAGGTGGAGATATTTCTCCTAAATATTCGCAAAGTGGAAATTTTCTCCTAAATGGCAGGATATTCGCAAGATGGAGATTTTTTCTCCTAAGGGATTGAATATTCGCAAGGTGGAGATTTTCTCCTAAAGGGTTGGATATTTGCCAAGGTGGAGAATTGTTATGTATGACTCATAATACCAGGATTTGGAGTCTCTTGGAATTAAGAGATGTCTCTTGGAATTGAAGAGATGTGTCTTTTGGAATTCAGTGGATTGAGATCAGCGAGGGCACAACAGAAGCATGATGACCTAACCCACATTGGTGTAGGTGTAACTCCCAGGTATCTTTTCTCCTAAGGGGCTGGATATTCGCCAAGGTGGAGATTTGTTATGTTATGGCTCATATACGATATGATATAGGGACAGACGCTGGAAGACGCTGGAACGAAGCGGAGCGGAGCGGAGCGAAAGAATCTGTCCAAATTGGGAAATTATGTTATATGGGTTGGGGCTATACGGTTACTGATTATGACTCTGCGGGGTCACCAGCAAGTAAGAGATCTACTTCAGAATACTAAACACTTCTAAGAATGTTTGAGACATGTTTGTAATCCTAGGTCTTTGAGAGAGTTGAATCCTTGAATTCTGTAAATCCTTTTCTGATTATTGAAAGAAACTCGCTGCTCTGCTCCCGAGGACGTAGGCATCTTTGCCGAACCTCGTTAAATCTCTGTGTTCTTCTGGATTTGTGTCGATTGTTGTTTTCTTCGCCCTAATTTTCTCAACAAAAAACATCTACTAGGAAATTGTCCTCATCCATAATAGGAATGTCTTAAACTAGAAGTTTTCTAGCAAAGTTCAATCAGGTTGCTTGACTAAACTATCTCAGATTCTCACTCCTGCTCTATGCTAATTCATCACCTGGAGATATTAAAATCAGAGGGAGGTAAACCTAATTCAAAATAACATATTAAAAATAGAATCAATAATAAACAGCTTAGCGTGTATAGGCAAACTTCACAAAAATGAGTCCAGGCGTACAACAAACAAGTCGATCAATGCTTAAAAAATGATTTTAATATATTAGAATCAAGTGAAAATATGACACTCAATAGTACACAATGGAAAAAAAAATTCATGTAGCAGACCACACTTAGTGAGACAAAGAATTTGTTGTTGTTGTTGTTGTTGTTGTAGCAGCAGCAGCAGTATCAATGCTTCCATCATATATTCATAAAAATCATGGACAGACATTCTTTTATAAAGAAGGATGAAAATACATCAACGCTAATCTCCAACTCAAATCATATAGAAGGTAACCAAAAAAACTAATAATCATTCACATAATAATGCAAGGAAATATGCTACAATTAATGGGTTAAGAATATCCACCTCAACATAGAGACATAGTCATCAAGCCTTGGTCTTCCTCTGGGGTTCTAATTTTCCAAATTGTGACAATCAGCTCTCCACAATAAATGGAAGACTAATTGTGCCTCAATCACTCATACTTCAAACAAAACCTAAACCTAAGGTATTCTTCCAAATAAAAAAGCATATGGGAAAATCAATGGTTGATCATTCACATAGCACTCATCTCCTTATAGGTTGCCTTTCCAATGGTAATGGGGGTAATTAAAATATACCATCTAAAAAAATTTTGTTATCAAAATGGATGAAATGTACACCAAGTATTGAAAAAGTAGAGATACATGCTCTTCAATTCTAATTCTCTTAAATAACATAAATTTTAGTTTAAATCTTCTAAAAGATTTTCACCATAAGAATCTTCTAATTATCTTAAATAACTTGAATTTTAATTGCACCTACATTTTCATTAGATCAGAGTGAATTGTGTTGGGTTAAGCATAACGTTTGAGCGCAAAAGTATAGAAAGATCACATAAATCTGCCAACTACAGGGATAGGGTGAATCAATAAGCTACTAGACCTATTAAATCTACTATTTCAAATTCTAATAAATCACGATTTAAGCTTCTCTGCTCAACAGTTGACTCCTTTCATCGCCTAACATTGAGAAACACTCTATCACCTACATCAAAGTGAATATCCTTGTGCCCCAAGTAGTAATACATCTTTTATTAGCCTTGCATCATTTCCAGTCATTCTCTAACGATTTTGATCTCCTCAGTCATCTTGTCCACCAATGGTGGTCCCATCATAGTTCTTTGGTCTGGTTAAATCCAACAAAAAGAT